CCTGCCCTGGCAATAACCTGGAGCAGAGTCTCCACAGCCCAGGTGCAGGGCTGAAACAAGCCAAGGACAGAGCAGTAGACTTCAGAAGTCTCTGGAATTTCTGGCTTTTGGAAAGACCCTGTAATGGATGTTTTTCCTTTGCCCCACCCCCCCTTTCTTTTCCCATTTCTTCCAGCAACAGTATTCTTCTTTCCTAAGGTAAAGTCACTGGATGTGGTTCAGATTGGGCTCCTTGAGCCCTGCACCCTGTCCCTACTTCCTGCCACAGGAGTGAGCACATGACTCAGGATTGGCCAATCAGGGGACACCATGCCCCCAGCCACGAGGATTGGTTCAGAAGTGGGTATGTAATTCAAGCTCTACCAACCAGAGACTTTACTGGGACTTTCATGCCACAGCTATCAGAAAAGGCTTGCCTGTTCCTCTGGAGTTACTGATGATATGAGTGTGGCATCTTGCTACATAGAGAGCCTATTCAAGAACAAAGCCAAGTAGAGCCATGATGTGGGGGAGAGAGACCCAACCCAATGACATAGTTTGAGCTTTTATAACCATCCATGTCTGAGGGCAGCTCCATCTCTTCCACTGTGTGGCTTGGTGCCTAACTTGAGTTAGGTCTCTGTCACTTACTATCCAAACAATTCTGACCAGCACAGGCCTATTCAGCATCCTGTAACCCTGGAAGCTGGAACCACTCTACCCTGCATATAGCTGCAGCCCCTGCCTTTGAGTCCTATCTGAACTTTGAGGGACTATGAGAAGCTAACCAGCCTCTTGTCTTATTTCTTTTAGTGACAGCCCCTTCCTTGTACCCCAGTCTCAATAACTGAAGCCCTGTCTTACTTCATTGTCCTGGCTCTTTGCCTTTGCAACCCTAGTATGGACAGGCTCTGAACCGAGGACTCCATGGCTAGAACCCTCCACCTGCTGCTACATATCTTGAATATTACCTGAGCCTGTCTGGACTTCCAACCTGTGGTCCATACCAGTCCTATTTGGTGCAAACTACCACACCTAATCCCTGTGCACCATGGGTCTACCCTTTTTACAAATGGCCAAGTTGCAGTTTTATCAACTTGAGGCCTCACAGTACAACTTAAGGCAGCATTTCCCAAGCTGTGGTCTATGGGACTCCATTCAGTGGGATGTAAATAGATATTCCATTAACACAGAGGGAAAAAACAAACCTGGCAATAGTTTTTCGTTAACTTTATCTTTTAAAATATAAAAAAAATGGAGTAGCATTTTACATAGGGGTCACCTTCTAAAGTCAGTGCTTCAGGTAAAAATCATGTCTTGTCAATGCCGCCTTTGGTAAAACCTTCAGTTGTCCACAAGGCACAGCAAACAGACCTTCTACCTTCCAACAAGTCCATCAGAGCCTATTTTTTTCCTCCAGTTCTGGAACAAGTTGCTGTTTTTCCAGTTTTGCTCCAGGTGAAGATGAAAGAGGTGGTTTATTTTAGGGGGCATGTAGGGTGGAGAGTATGTATCTAGATTCACAGGTAGGGTGGTAAGATGGTCACTCCATCGAAAGCATTGGGAACAGACTGACAAGGACCCCCAACTTAGATACCCCATCTCATGCCTGGTCTGGGGCACACATTTGCTCGGTCATTGCCCTGTTGAAACTGTGCTCTCTCCAGGCTCCCATGGAACATGCATTACTGGATTTGAGGGAGTTAAATGCATGGAAGATAAGATTCCACCATATGAGAGAAAAATATTTATCATTACAAGGTGCTCTCATAATAATCTGTTCTTATATATAAGAATCTGCTTTTAAGAAATTGTGTGCCAAGAATATCAGGAAATCACGTCACCTGTTACATTGGAATTGTGACGCATGATCTATATACTGGTACATAAAGGCGCATTTACTAACTATGCTCTTCATCATCAGTTCTATGATATCTGGCTCAAGTAACGTGTCTTATTTTAGAATTTAATATATGTGTTTATTATTTAGTGTTTGTCGTAAACATATGAATCAAATTGTGATAATCCTAATAATATTATTAAGAAGAAGAATTAACACTTGGTGAGGGCTTGCCATACACCAGGTATTTTTCAAGCAACTTTGTGTTTAATAACTCATTTAATCCTTACAACAACCTTTGTCCCCATTTTACAGACGAGGAAACCAAGGCTCAAAGTGGTGAAGGATTATTGAATTCACATTTCCAGATCTCAAATCCCAGGCATGGACATGGTTACTTTGACAGTCAAAGGAGAGAATGTATATGAAAGTGTCTGTTATATTAAAAAAGATTATTTTTTTATTCTTTTTTTTAATTCAAGTATCATTAACATAGTGTTATATTAGTTTCAGGTGTAGGATATGATTCAACAATTCTATACATTTCTCAGTGCTCATCAAGATAAGTGTACTCTTAATCTCTTTTATCTATTTCACCCATCCCCCCCACCCACCTCCCCTTTGGCAGCCACCAGTTTGTTCTCTGTATTTAAGAGTCTGGTTTTTTTGTTTGCATCCATTTTTTTCTTCATTCATTTGTTTTGTTTCTTAAATTCCACATATGAGTGAAATCATATGGTATTTGTCTTTCTCTGACTGACTTATTTCACTTAGCATTATACCCTCTAGGTTCATCCATGGTGTCGCAAATGACAAGATTTCAGTCTTTTTTTATGACTGAGCAATATTCCATTGTATATATACTATATCTTCTTTATCCATCTCTCTATCAGTGGGCACTTGGGTTGCTTCCATATCTTGGCTGTTGTAAATAATGCTGCAATAAACATAGGGATGCATGTATCTTTTCCAAGTAGTATTTTCATTTTCTTTGGGTAAATACCCAAAGAATAATCTTTTTGACTTAAAAGTCAAAAAGATTATTCTTTAAGATAGCTGCTATTTGTGGAGCTCTTACCCTATGCCAGACATCAAGAAGTGTTTGCCATGCCTTTTCCTGTTTAATTATGACAACTCTACGAACAGATGCAGAAAGGTTAAGTGACCTGGCCAAGGAAACTTAGCCAGGATTATCAAATAGGTTGCTCTAAACTTAGCCAGTAAACTACCCTGTCTGACCTTAGAGATGCAAGTTTTCACCATCATCATCATCATCACAAAGAGCAATGGGGCATTAGCCATTAAGGAACTATTTGTGAATCAAAACCACAATGAGAACTACTCACTAGGATGCCCATAATCCAAAAAAACAGACAAGAGAAAGTGTTTGGTAAGCTTGTGGAGAAATTGGAACATACATTGCTGGTGGGAATATGAAATGGTGTAGCCATTCCGAAAATGGGTCATTCCTTAAAATGTCAAAAATAAAGTTACTGATGGGCGCCTGGGTGGCTCAGTTGGTTAAGCGACTGCCTTCGGCTCAGGTCATGATCCTGGAGTCCCTGGATCGAGTCCCGCATCGGGCTCCCTGCTCGGCAGGGAGTCTGCTTCTCCCTCTGACTCTCCCCCCTCTCATGTACTCTCTCTCATTCTCTCTCTCTCAAATAAATAAATAAAATCTTTAAAAAAAAAATAAAGTGGGCGCCTGGGTGGCTCAGTCGTTAAGCGTCTGCCTTCGGCTCAGGTCATGATCCCAGGGTCCTGGGATCGAGTCCCACATCGGGTTCCCTCCTCGGTGGGAAGCCTGCTCTCCCTCTCCCACTCCCGCTGCTTGTGTTCCTGCTCTCGCTATCTCTGTCTCTGTCAAATAAATAAATAAAATCTTTAAAAAAAAAAAAGTAAAAAAAAATAAAGTTACTGAATGATCTTTCAGTTTCACTTGTAGGTACAATACCCAAGGAAACTGCAAACATGTTCATGCAAACATGCATACACCCATATTCATAACAGCATTATCCATTATCCATAATAGCCCCAAACTGGAAACAACCCAAATGTCCACCCCCTCCCAAAAAAAAGTCTATCCAGACAATGGAATATTACTTGGCCATACAGAGGAATGAAGTAGAGATACATGTTTCAACATGGATGCACCTTGCAAACATGATGCAGAGTGGAAGAAACCAGACCCAAAGGACTACATAGTGCATGATTCCATTTCTATGACATGTCCAGAATAGGCAAATCCCAGAGACAGAGAGTAGACCCACTGGTCATCAGAGCTATGGGGGATCAGAAGGATTGGGAGTGATGGCTCAGGGCTGTGGAGTTTCTTTCTGAGGTGATGAAAATGTTCTAGAATTGATTGTGGTGATGGTTGCACAACTTTGAATACTAAAACCCACTAAATTGTACATTTGATTTTTTTTTAAAGATTTATTTATTTATTTATTTGAGAAAGAGTGCACTCGCGAGCAGGGCGAGGGGCAAAGGGAGAGGGAGAATCTCAAGCAGATTCCACGCTGAGCGCGGAGCTGACATGGAGCTTAATCCCCCAACCCTGAGATCATGACCTGAGCCAAAATCAAGAGTTGGATGCTTAACCGACTGAGCCATCCAGGTGCCCCTAAATTGTACACTTCAAATGAGTGAGTTGTATAGTGTGTGAATTATATCTCAATAAGCTGTTAAGAAACAAAAATGAAAAAGAGCAAGAGGGGGCCTTCCTGACACTAGAGAGGACCTAAAGTTACCTTGACGAGTCTGATCCTATTCCTCCCCTAAGCGGTGATGATTCAGACAGATTCCAGGGTTATTACCAGGTGTGCTCTGAATCCTTGCCTCCTCCCACGGAATCCAGGGTGTTGCCCTGTTTCTACTTTCCGCAGGCATGCCCCACTCAGCTCACCCTGGCAGGCCTGGGGTAGAACCCAAAGTGTCGCTTTGCCTCTTGTGGCTTCTTTCTGCAGCAGACTGGCACTGTTTCCCCCCGCCTGCAGCTGCATCCCCCCAACACCCCTCCCGCCCGCCCCGGCACCTCCAGCCCCAGCTTGCTACGAGGAAAAAAGTCTCAGATTTAAAACCACATGGAATTCAGGATAAGCACCAGAAGCTGTAACTTGGGGACTTTTGTGCTGTCAACTACTGCAGACATTTGGGGTTCTCCCCACACCCCACTTACCCGATGTAGGAAAAGACCAGCACATGGAAGACCCACTTAATGGTGCCGTAATTCATGCTCTGGATCTGGAGGACTTTGTTTGTCTCATACTGGAAAACATCTTTCCAGCTGCAACAGGCTGACATGGTGAGAGGCTCACTCTCCGTTAGGGTCTCGACCAGGGCTCAACCCTCCCAGAACAATCACAACACAGGAAAATGAAACTGATTCTTAGCAGGAGCCTTTATGTTTGAGTTCCTCCAGTGAGGGCACAGTGGGGGCGGGCCCTGGCAGCTAACCCAGATGTGGCTGGGGATAAACAAGAGAAGGGAAGTCCTACAGGCCTGGCTGGCAGATGACCCTGCTCCAGCCTGCCTCCCCCAGACGCCTGCACAAAGATGGTGTTCAAAGGAAGGGCATTTTTAGCATTCTCCCTTATCCCCTTTTTCCTTTCACTTTTTTGGACTCCTTTCAGTTGGGGGAAAGGGGCAGCCCTTCAAATGTCAGGAGACCCAGTGCTTCCATTGTGCCTTAATAAAGGGCCTAGATCTTTCTATTGCCTCAAGGCCCACTCAGAGACTGACTGATTCATTTCTACAACACTTTGTTCAGCCCCAGATGTCTGTGAACGCCGGGTGAATGAAGGTCTCCCTCTGCTCCCTCTCCACACTTCCTCCACAGCACTCTGGTCTGTAGATGGTGGGGGGAATCAGAATTGCTGGGAGGGGAGGAAGACTTTACTTCTATGCTGGATATTTCCTGCATGACCCTTGAGATCCGTTGAGATCTGCTCTCTGCCCTGCCCCTAGAGTTACAACCCTGACCTAGCCCAGTCAGCCTGACTGTCAGAAACAAACTTGCCATTCAGCAAAATGAGGTTTACTGACTCATTCAGTGAGAAAGAGCTCATGCCAGAGAAGCTACCACCATCATCAAAGGGACAGAGTTATCATAGGATTATGGGTGATGGTGAGTCTAGATTAAATTTAAATGAAAGCAGATTTTGATAGGCTCAAAACAAAGCAGGTTTGTATAAAATGGTCAATCTCAGATCTGGATTGCAAAGTGGACCCAGGGCTCTGCTTCCTTGAAAGTAATAAAGCTAAGACAGGTGTTGAATGTTGTGCCTAGAAACCTTTTATCTGAAGCTCTGCACCAAAGGTGCAAATTGAGGCCGCTTCTCTGTGGCAAGGTGACTTAGATCCTCCAGGCAAAAGTGGAATATTTCATTCTTACTGATGCATTTTCCAATAGCAAATTTTCTGATAACCTATGATTTTAGAGTACCTTACCTCCTGGCTCTTGGTTCAGGACACTGGAGAGCAGAAGGAAGGTGAGATTGAATGTAAATTTTCTTGGCCCTTCTCATAAGCGCACATGGCAGGGCTCCTGATCTTTCTGCTGAACGCATACACTGATCCCTCATGCCCTTCCCTCTGCTTCCTCAGCCCTCTGTCTACTATTTCTCTTACCACCACTTTATGGATACTGTTCTTAATAAGCTTACCACTGAGTTCTCAGTTGCCATATTTAGTGATATGTTTTATTCCTTATTCTATTTAAACTTTTGGACCAACACCATGTACCACTCCCTACCTCTTGAGCAATTTCTTCCATTGATTTCCATGACTCCCCTGAGCCCCTTCTTCTAGTTTCTCATCCTTTTTTTTTTTTTTTAAGATTTTATTTATTTGAGAGAGAGAGAGAGGGCGTGCATGCGACAGAGAGCATGAGTCGGGGGGGAGGGCAGAGAGAGAAGCAGGTTCCCCACTGAGCAGGGAGCCCGATGGTGGGGGGGGGTGCTGGATCCCAGGACCCCAGGATCATGACCTGAGCTGAAGGTAGACACTTAACCGACTGAGCCACCCAGGCGCCCCTAGTTTCTCATCTTTACCTCTATGACTCTTTGTCCTATCTTTCTGTGACTCTTCTCCTTTTATGTGTCAGTTCCTGCAAATTCTGTCTCAGTATTTTTTATATTTCTCAGTCCTGATAAGACAGGTTATGTTGCAATAACAAACAGCTCCCAAATCTCATGGCTTAAAAACAATGTCCTTTTATTTCTCATCCACAATAAATATTCACCATGGATCGATCACCCAGGAGGCTCTGCTCATCGTAGTCACTCAGAAAACAAAACTAATGGAACAGCCACTATCTTGAACTCTTGAATGAGAAATCTGGCAGGTCTTACAGTGGCATTTAAATCCTCTGACCTTGTGCTCGCTTCAGCAGCACATATATTAAATCCTCTGACCTTGGGGCACCTAGCTCAGTTGGTTAAGCTTTCAACTCTTGGTTTCAGTTCAGGTCATGATCTCAAGGTCCTGGGATAGAGCCCCGGGTGGGGCTCTGTGCTCAGCCAGAGTCTGATGGAGATTTTATCCCTCTCTCTCTTCCTCTGTCTCTCCCCCCACCCCTCACGTGCACACGCACACACTTGTGTGCTCTCTCTCTTTAAAATAAATAAATAGGGGTGCCTGGGTGCCTCAGTCGTTAAGCGCCTGCCTTCAGCTCAGGTCATGATCCCAGGGTCCTGGGATCGAGCCCCGCATCGGGCTCCCTGCTAGGCTGGAAGCCTGCTTCTCCTGCTCCCCCTGCTTGTGTTCCTGCTCTTGCTATCTCTCTCTGTGTGCCAAATAAATAAATAAAATCTTAAAAAATAAATAAATCTTTAAAAAAAAACCACTCTGACCTAGAAATGATGCACTCCCTTTAGCCCCTAACTCATTTGTCAACACTAGTCACTTGACCCCATCTAACTACCAGGGAACCAGGAAATGGCAGTCTCACCATATATCCCCTTCTGTGCCCAGAAACAGAAGAAGCAGACATATTTGGTAAATAGCAGTAATAACTTCTGCATCTTCTCTCTGGGAAATTTCACCCACACACATTCTTTTAAGAATCACCAAATGCTAAAAGAAAAGGGGATGGAAAGAGGGGTACATGTGTATATCATGTGTTTAACTATGCATGGAATATAGCTGGAAATAGGCCTACTACATAATTTGGGGGCCCAGTGCAAAATGAAAATGTGGGGTCCCTTATTCAAGATTAAGAATTTCAAGATGGCGGGCGCCTGGGTGGCTCAGTTGGTTAAGCGACTGCCTTCAGCTCAGGTCATGATCCCAGGGTCCTGGGATCGAGTCCCACATCGGGCTCCCTGCTCTGCGGGAAGCCTGCTTCTCCCTCTCCCACTCCCCCTGCTTGTGTTCCCTCTCTCGCTGTGTCTCTCTCTGTCAAATAAATAAATAAAAATCTTTAAAAAAAAAAAAAAAGAATTTCAAGATGGCAATAGCAGAGCGTTAAATCAAGCTCAGGTCCCTTCTATGTGTGGGTCCTTATGTAACTGCACAGGTCCCATGTCCGTGAAGCTGTCTGTGTCTGAAGGATATATAAGATGGTCTCTGGGGAGGGAACTGGGGGATTTGTCAATGTTTGTCAGGCGACTTATTTACCACCTTTCTGTGAAGTTTTTCTACCGTACTCATGCATTACTTTTTTAAAATCACGGCTAGATTTTAAAAATCTATTATCTCCAGACCAAATCTGCCTTCTGAGCTCCACACCTGTACAGTCTATGAACCTCCAGACCTAAAAATCCCATAGACACTTAAAATCACATCTTCAGAATGGCACACTTCCGCGCAAAATAATAGTGCATGTAGGCACTGATTCGAGGGAGAGAGTAGAGACACGGATGTGGACTACTTTTCCTTTAAACTCAGCTTGAGGGTAAGGGTGGTTTTTAACAGGAAGTGTAGTCAAGGGAAGATTGGGGGAAGGGGTAGTTAAGATGGAAATATTCCAGCCATTCAAAGATGTTCAAAGTGGAATGTCAAGAATGGTGGTTTTTGTTTCTTTGTAAAGTATGAAGTCAAGTCATGAATGGAATGGGGCTTGGGGGCTTGGGTGAATTTATCTTCTCAAGGGTGTGTGTGTGTTTCTGGTTACAGGTCAGAAAAATCAAGTGACTTTCTTTAGCAGAAAAGGTAGTTTTTTGAGGAAACACTGTTGTCTTACAGAACTCAAGTGCAGGAAACGTAGTGAGAACTTATTATTATTATATTTTTAAGATTTTATTTATTTATTTGACAGAGAGAGACACAGGGAGAGAGGGAACACAAGCAGGGGGAGTGGGAGAGGGAGAAGCAGGCTCCCCGCTGAGCAGGGAGCCTGATGCGGGGCTCCATGCGGGGCTCGATCCCAGGGCCCTGGATTCCCGACCCGAGCCAAAGGCAGACGCCCAATGACTGAGCCACCCAGGCGCCCCCGTGGTAAGAACTTATTAATAGGGAAACTATAATGTCCTGCGCTTAGGTTGCACTTTCGGTTTGTCTGAAGCTGTGTGGTCCCGCCTCTGCCTGTCTCTCTCTGCACCCACTGTGCATCTCCCTAAACACCGGACTTCTCTGCTCCTCTGGGGGCATGTCACCAAGCAAGGCCATCATGGCATCCACATTAGGTGGCCACAGTTCACACGAGACCACAGACCAACTACTTAATTCAGGAGTCCCAGAAGAGTGAATCTGATTGGTCTAGCTATCTGTCTCTGGTCCAATCACCTAAGGCTGTGGGCGGGGTCACAGAAGAAACATGGCTTCGGGGGCCTGTTGGGGAGGAGGGTTGTAAAAGAGGGTGGAGGGGGGTAGAGGAGGAGGGGTAAGGGGTGGAGGGAAGGGGAAGGAAGGAAAGAAAGTAAGGAGAGGGAGGAAGAAGTGAAGAAGTGCAACTCTCAGAGAATAGAGGCTGCTAGGCTGGGAGACTCAGGTTAAATCCTCTGCTCTCAGGTGGGACAGCGCTGAGGCAGTCCAGGCAGTTTCCCAGAGGTCCCTAGTGGGGAGTCCCAGATGCCTACAGCAGTGATCTGTTCTTCAACGCTTCCTGTATTGGCTGCCTTCCCTCCCTGTCTCACTTCCCCACTGCCCTTCCTGGCCTCACCTCCCAAATTAACTACTTGCACCTGAATCCTTGTCTCAGGGTCCACTTTGGGGAAACTCAAGTCTATTTCAACCTCCTGTGGCTGCTTGCTGTTAAGGAGTCAGGAATTTATCCTGAGAGCAATAGGTAGATCTGTAAGCAGAGTCATGGCATGACCTCATTTACACTTTAGTAAAATCACTCTGGCTGCACGGTGGAAAGTGGATAGAAGGGGCAAGAGTGGAGGCAGGGAGGGGATCTGTCCAGGGAGAGGGTATAGTGACATGGAGGGGGCCTGAGGGTGGATCTCTGAAGGATC